ATTAACTATCGAGGATCACGTCGAGCGTGAACCTACGTTTTCATCCGTCCACTTATGCTTATGCCTTCTGCTTTGGCTGGGAATGTATCTTCTTCGAAAACATGGTCATTCCTTCCTGCTTTCGGGATTGTTCACACCTCCAACTGTAACATATGCAGTAATTATATGAGGCACATGGCCGACGCTATCAGGTCCGATGCGTCTCTACAAGACGCGCTCAAGGAACGAGACCATCATGGCTCTATCCAGTATCTTCATGGTGTCTCTGACGGACTGCGACTCGATCCCCAGCACCAAGATGGCCTCTCAGATGACGATCTGACGAAAGCACTTGCAGAACGCGACGAAGCATTGGAGTTGGCGAGTCTTTCCAATGCTCGACTAGTCACGTTAGAGCAGGAACTCCTCAGTGTAAAGGAGATATTGGAAGCCTTTCAGGCTAGCCCAGCTCGAGCAGACCCCTCCGAAGTTGCGAAGCCAGAAAAGCAGGATAAAGTTCGCGAGTCAGCTCCTGTGCAGCCTGAGGTGTCATTGGAGATCCCGCCTACGCCAGTCTCCTTAGAAATCCGGAACCCAGAGAAAGGGGATGGAATCTTCCAAACCAAGCCGAGAGAGCAATCATTTCTTCCTACTCCTTCAGTATCCCCTTCTCATGAACCCAAATCTCTTCAAAGTCAATCCCCAGATCACGATATATCGACTGCAGTTTTCGAAAACATCTCATCAGTCGTTCCTGACTGTCTTCCTCATGAGGACCTAACACCTGCTGAATCGAGCATCGATCCTACTCCGACGCCGAGCTTACATGACCTCGCGCTCTCTTTTTCACAGGCGAAAGGCGGTGATCACAACGCGCGCACTATTCTGAATGATATCTATACGACAGCACTTTCCACGCCCCCGGATAATAGGTCAACCTCACAGCAGTTGATTCTTCTAGAATGGACACCCATACGAAAACGTCATCCACACCTTCAACGCCCCGACTCCGAGTCGGAGCCTTCTAGAGTTACTCCCGTTGTACAACCAACCTCCGCAATCGTAAAACCGAACTCCACTACTCCAGAGATCTTTGTAGACTCCTCTGGTTGGGGTATCGGCTTTGTATTGAATGGTCGATGGTTGGCTTGGAAGTTCAAGAAGGGGTGGAAGGCAGATGGTCGAGACAACAACTGGGCCGAAATGGTTGCGGTCGAGCTAGGCCTTCTCGTCGCCTTTGCCGCTGGCTTTCATGGAAAGGTGATTATCAGATCAGATAACACAGGTGTTGTGCGCTCGTTGGAGAAGGGAACCAGCGATCATCGTTGCCAGCCGGAGGTCATGATGAGGATTGACGACATAACGCAGACTCAAGGAATGGATCTCAATGTGAAATGGGTCTCAACGAAGGATAACCCTGCTGATCTACCGTCTCGAGGACAGCTTCCCTCTCGCAAGCTTAGATTTCCTGTCACGATAGACCTGCCTAGCCATTTACGATCTTATCTGTTCGACCCTGTGGAACTCGACCTTCATTAATTGCGGATGGTGACTGGTATTTATCCTCTGAGTATCTGGAATTCACTTTATATCCTCGCTGGTCGAGAAGTCATATACGTAGTCTTTGCAATGTTTAACTTAACAATCGGGATAAATGGCGTTGTGCCCCAAAATGCGGGGTAAGAACGTGGGGTTTGTCAATTCAGATGTCAATTCAGATGTGATGGACTGGGACGAACCCCAGAACCGGACACTATAAAAGATAAAAGATCCGTGTTAGCGAGCTCATCGATATCATAATGGGCTGGACTCCTCCCTTGAATCCATGTCACCCAATTTTATGATCAGACCTGGGTCAGAGGATTAAAAAATTATCATGCACATGGGCCGCGTTGGCAAGAGCCACAAGATGCCATTACAAATAGATCTGTACCTGGCTTCTAGCGTCGCAAGTCAACCAATAGAATGGGGTTCAGATTTGTAGGACCACGATCTGACATTGAAACGCTCGTACGGAAAATCATCGGAAATATATCCTTTCAGCCAACTCCCCCACAGTGGTAGAGACATTCCATTCGGTTGCCCATTCGAAACGCGGCGCCGATATCCGACTCATATGACAAGCAAAAACTTTAGGCTAAACTGTTTTTGCTTCCAGAGCGCTTAGAGTTGTCTATTGGACTCATCGTGAAGGCTTTTTTGGCTGTGTTGTGCGGCGCAAGCAATATTTCACTCATATTATCCTACTCCACCACCATTCACGGTCCAAATGTTGACAAAAACCATTTCAAACTTACCACGATCACCGCTAAGCCATGGGTATTCAAATAAACCCAATGTAAGGGGTTTCGGCAAAACCTCGGAAAAACACATTTTGACCTTTCCAACTGTGGCTCTCAGATGATTCGTTGCGTTAACGATCATGGCATAAGGAACCCACCCGTGACCAATTTCTATGGGACCCAAAAGGCATAAAAAGGCCAATACCTATCGATTTGGTTTTCCAGGTCGAATATCTCGCTCACCTACTACCCACCATCTTTACTCTTTCTTACTTCTAATGATCCCCGTCGAAACTAAGACTCCCGTCGTTGTCGACGCTGGTCCTAACCACCTCGACGAAGCCACTACAAACCCTCTTCCTAGTCGCTTGTCTGCGCTGAAGAAGACGTTGTGGAAGGACGAGCTCCTCGACAGCTGGAAGCAGATTTTGGCCGAGCTTGAGGTCGCCATCGACGAAATTTCGCAGAAGGGTGGACACGTGGGTTTCAGTCCAAAATTCATAGATACCAGACGATTGACGATTATTCGTAGGTTATACCACGAGTCTCGTTCGCAGAGATCAAGGCTGGCTTGTCTCCGAGCCAAGTCAAGGCTATCAAGGATGTCGGTGTCGTCGTCGTCACTGGTGGCGTTCCAGAAGAAGTGAGTTTATCTTATTGATTGTCATGCCAATCCAGTTCTAATCAACCTCAACGCCGGCAGGAAGCTCTCGGCTGGAAAGCCCAGATCAAGGAATACGCCACAGTCAATGCTGGCGAAGTGACAGGTAAGAACTTCTTCCTTGGCTCAAACTTTTATCATTGGTTCTAAATTTTCTAAAATATTAGGATACCCCGCCACCAACATCCAGATCTACGAAATGTACAACGCCAAAGGACAAGTCGCATGCCGTGAACATCCCGGGGTTATCGAGACCCAGCGATACCTCTTATCTCTCTGGCATGCTTCATGGCCCAATACCCCAATCAGCTTTACCACCCCCGTATCTTACTTCGATCGCGTGCGGATCAGGCAACCAGGCGATACGACCTTTTCGCTTGACCCCCACATTGATAACGGGTCTGTCGAGAGGTGGGAGGATACCACTTACAGGCAATGTTACAAAGAAATCCTTAAAGGCGGCGAAGCATGGAAACATCACGATGCGTTCGACGTCAGTCCAAGGTTGGACGCCGTGCAGGATATGTACGATAATTCGTAAGTTGGACATTAGTTGATGTCGTCCACGGGCTGACTTTAATTGTGCAGGAATCAAGGTTCGATTTTCCGTGCTTGGCAGGGATGGGTCTCGATGTCCGAGACTGGCCCTGATGAAGGGACACTTCGCGTCCTTCCCATGCTCCGACTGGCTATCCCATACATCATCCTTCGACCCTTCTTCCGTCTTGACGAGACCACTAACGAGTGGGTCGTGGACCTCGAGAACCCCGAGTTCCCGGGAAGTCTACTCGGAGGAAAGCAGTTCTTAACGACAAAGACGCACCCACATCTCAAGCTCGACAAGACAATGGTGGCGATTCCAACTGTCAAGCCTGGCGACCAGGTCTATTGTAAGTTCCCGTTCGTTTATGATTAGGTTGATCGTCTCAAAGCATTCTAAATTCGATAGGGCATTGCGACATTGTCCATGAGGTCGAGGGTCATCATTATGGAAAGAATGACTCTTCGGTTGTCTACTCCCCAGCCGTTCCTCTGACAATCAAGACGTGAGTAGACCAATACAGTTGATAGCTATTCCTGCTTACCGCCCCATCAGTGCTCGTTACCTTCGCCAACAACGCGTAACCTTCGAAGCCGGTCTTCCTGGCCCGTATGTATCATTTCCTGGATTGTTTTGACCAATGCTGATCTCCGTTTCAGTGACTTCCCCAAAGGTCCAGGAGAGACCAAGTGCATAGGACGTGCCACGCCAGAGGATGTCAAGACTGTCCTAGGTCGTCGAGCGTTTGGGTTGGAGCGGTTTGAGGTCAATGAAGGGGACGACGCAGAATTTATAAAGACTGCCAACGAGATTCTGGTCGGTGCTTAAAGTGATTGTTGATATTGAGCGCTCTTGCGCAAGTTGAATTACGAAATTGCAAGTTGTTAGTAAAGGAAATTGAAGGACAGACTTCAGAATCTGAGAAGATGGGTCATAATAATAGTAAGAATTGGGTAAGTACCTACCTGTAAGTTAAAGATCTGCCCGAAAGCTTGATGGTAGTATAGGTGAATGTTCCGACGGGCCTATGTGATCAGACATTACTACGAGCAACGATTCTGGAAGTAGGAACGCACCGCCGCGTTGGCGTAGTGGTATACGTATACGGCAAGCATCCAATACAGCAGTTGCATGGCGACCTTCAACTTCTCTTTGTTTATAAAAATCCACCGATTTTCATTTAGTTAACGAGCTAGACTGAATCCTCGGAATCTCATTTCAGTTCGCTCTCCATTGTGACCTTGAATCGGCTTTGGCAAAGACGACCGCAACTCAGAGATCCGCGCAACGCGCAAAACAGAGACCGTCGACCGACCACGGCACCAGCTTACCCGATTGCGATCCAATGGATGAAAATCCAGCGTTTTGCCAACTCGGTGTTGCTTTGTGACATCTAATCGGCTCGCTGCGTGGAGAAAATACCAGGCAGAAGTAATCACAAGAGAAGAGGCACACAATTTAAAAGAGGTGGCGACTGTTGTTGTCATACTTGATAATAATACCGAAAATGCTGCTGTGAAATCATATGAGCAGCATGGCCGCGTTAGCGTAGTGGTCATCGCATCGCACTTGTACCGCTTCTGGGCTTATGCGAAGGTCACTCGTTCAAATCGGGTACGTGGCATTTTGAACTTTTCGAAGATAGATGAATTTTTGTCCGAGAAACGAAAGCCATACATACATAAGAACGAATGTCAAAATGTCCGAACGTTTTACGAAGTACCACTCCGTCATATTTTTCGCTGTGATTGTGCGAGAAGTGAGCGACGAGTTTTAGATCTCCCTCGTGTGTACAAATCCTCTTCAACTCCTTGCATTTACATGTCCCGCGTACGTGAAGAACAAGGAGAACCAGCAGAATTTAAAGGAAATTTCACGGATTCCCAAAGGCATCGGAAAACGTAGAATGCAATGCTGGACGCCGACGCACAGGCTTTTACAAGGTGGACTGCAATCCCTGAATATTGAATAGTCGCGACCTAAATCCGGGCGCTGAAGCTCTGAAGATCTGAAGGCCTGATCCTCGATTTCAAAGCCAAGCAAGAACCGGCGATAGGTGGCGATCATGGAGGCAAAAAAGAGCGCTGAGAGTGCTGAGTCATCACAAACAATAGACTTGAATTCGACTTTGATCCT